AGGCCAAGCGCCTCAGGCGTGAGGATGTTCTCCCCCTCCTGGCGTGGAGTCTGAATCAACATCTGGGAGGTATACGAGGCCTCCTCTCCCAGCTTCTCCTTGGTATAATGCAACTCTTGGCTCACCCGGCTTCCCACTGCCAGAGCAGAGAGAAAGCTGCAGAAAGGGGTCTTGGAGGTTCCTACTTCCTAGGGCTCCCAGACAAGGGGGAGAAACACTGCTGAGGCCCTGGGCCTTCTCCCCATGGCCTTGCTAAGGCCCTGGCTGGCTCCCAAGCTTCTGTCTGCCCCTTTTCTCAGAGTCTGGAGTCCTGCCAGGGAAGTGGGGAGACCTCAGCTGCACGGCTTTATGGATTTCCTGTGTGGTCCAGGGTTTAGGCATGAAATAGGTTGGCTGGTTTGGGGCAAAAACTTAAAAATGAGAATCAGCATGAGCTGGGCCAGGTTATAGGAGTATTCTGGTAAGGAACTCTCACTGTCTCTCTCTGCTCTGGTCTGCAGGTCAAGGAGGGACAACAGGGGCCAGTAGGGAAGCTGCCAGCAGAGAGGGTTTTCTAAAAGAACAGGTCTTGGGTCAGGGCTGTTCTTCCTTCGGGTTGCCCTGCCTGGTGATTTACACTCACACACCTTTCTGCAAACTGCTCTGGAAGGGTCAGGAATGGCAGTGTCTGGTAATGATGGGCCTCACAGTGGCACAGGTGACAGGGAGGACCAGTCTTTCAGTGTGATGCTTCCACCCACTCAGAAAGGAAGTACATGGGAGCAGTTTGTGTGCCCTGGCAGAGGTGAAATCAAGTGGGCCAAGGAGTCCAGATCCCCTTCATTAGCCTCATCATACAGACTATGAGTCAGACTTCCTGGTGCCAGACCTGCCTCAGTCTCCTTGATCTTAGCATTCCTCAAGTCCTGTCCTGAATTATGCTGGCAAAGGAGTTCTGGTGGGGCCTGGGGAAGGTGGGGACATTGTGAGGGGATATAACCTAACTATGACTTGGAGGAAGATGAGGGCCACAACCTAGGAGTTTTGTGGACTTGTTCTGGTCTCAGACCTACTTCTGCTTCCACTTGTCTGGGGGTCTCTTTTTGCTGGTTGCTCCTATTCCTGGGACCAATACATGGCTGCTTCTCTGAGACTCTAGTCTCATTGAGGATTATCATAGTCCCCAATCTCTATCTCTTTCTTTTTTCTTTTGAGAGATAGGGTCTCACTATGTTGCCCAGCTGTCTTGATTCCCTGGACTTAAGCAATTTTTCTGCCTCAGCCTCCCAGGTAGTTGGTATTATAGATATGCACCACTCATCTCTAGTTTCCCAATCTCTCTCTCTCTCTCTTTTTGCGGGGTGGTACTGGGGATTGAGCTCAGCCACTGAGCCACATCTCCAGCCCTATTTTGTATTTTATTTAGAGACACAGTCTTGCTGAGTTGCTTAGTTTTTTGCTTTGCTGAGGCTGGCTTTGAACTTGCAATCCTCCTGCCTCAGCCTTCTGAGCTGCTGGGATTACAGATGTGTGCCACTGTACCCAACCCTAATCTCTTTTTCAAACCCATATAATCTCCTCACTCAGGAGATTGTATCATTGTGGACCAGACATAACCATAAGAATGTAAAAGAAAGAAACACTGTCATTTAAAAATATATAGTGAGACCAATAAATTCTTGGTGGGGTGGTGGGTGAGGAAGAGGAAAATATAAACCTCAGCTGACAAGGGATAGATATGAGGACAGATGAACTAGGATGTATTGATCAGAACAAGGATGTATTAAATAGAGCCTTTGTTTTCTTCTGTACATCCATTGTACAGAAGACTTGGTTTTGAGTCCTGGCTCCAACACTTATTCTGTGTCTTGGACAAATTACTTATTCTGAGTCTCAATTTACTTATCTGCAAAATGGGAACAATGCCTCTCTCTCAGTAAGTTTAGAATCAATACAGGAAAAGCACTTAGGAAATTGCCTGGCTCATGGTATGTGCAGATGTGGAGTTGTTATTCAATAATTGCCAAAAGTGAAAAAAAAAATGAGAAAAAACTAGAGAAAAAGAAAAGATTATGAGTAAGTACAGAGGAAACAGGAGAATAGGGGAAGGAGGATATCAAAATCAATAGTAAGCTTGGTAAAAACTTTTGCACCTTCACCAAAGGGAAAACATAACTGGTTAACCAACATGGAAAAGGAGTCTATCTGGTAGGTAATCCTATAAGTTTAAACAGCAACAAGTAACTATCTACCATTTTATATATATATTTATTTTCCTTTGTGGCCCTGGAGATGGATCCCAGGGGTGTTTTGTCACTAAGCCATATTACCAACCCTTTTCTTTTTGGTGTTTATTTTTTTTTTTAAAGAGAGAATTTTTTGATATTTATTTTTTAGTTTTCGGCGGACACAACATCTTTGTTTGTATGTGGTGCTGAGGATCAAACCTGGGCAGCACGCATTGCCAGGCGAGCACGCTACGGCTTCAGCCACATCACCAGCCCCGCCAACCCTTTAAAAAAAAAAAAAATTGAGCCAGGTGGCACATGTTTGTAATTCCAGCAGCTCTGGAGGTGGAGGCAGGAGCATTGTAAGTTTAAAACCAGTCTTAGCAACATAATGAGGCCCCAAGCAACTCAGCAAGACCCTGTTTCTAAATAAAATACAAAAATGGGCTAGGGACGTGGCTCAGTGCCCCTGAGTTCAGTTCCTGGTACAAAAAAAAAAAAAAAAAAAGAAATTAGGACAGGGTCTCACTAAATTGCCAAAGCTGGCCTCAAACTTGCAATCTTCCTGCTTCAGCCTCCCTAGTTCCTGGGAGTACAGGTGTGCACCACTGAAATCTGCTAAAAATTAAAAAAATGATGGCAATTATTTCTGGCTTATAGGTGTCTACCGTGGGAGTATAATTTGGTATCCTATTTGGAGGAAAGCAATATTGCAATATTTATTCTCATAATTTCTGGCCCAGAAATTTCACACGTAAGGGCAGTGAGCTGTTGTAGGGACTCAAGACTTTCTTTGAGTGAAATGGGAATCATAGTAGGTTTTGAGCAGAGATGTGAGATGATCTGACTTTTTCATCACCTAACAAATAAGAATTGGCCCAGGGAAGAAGTCAGGAAAAGGTGTTCGGGACCCAGAATATTCAGAGAATTGTCAAAGGCTTAGAGTTTCTATATTGTTAGGGAGGAGCCGGCGACAATGCTCAAGAGGGCCTAGAATGTGTGCTATGGGGCTTATATTTGATTCTAGAGACTTTACAGAATCTGATAGAAATTGATGGAAGGGCTCTAAGCAGGGTACTGACTTGGTCAGATCTAGACACAACACAAGGGCGGTGTGGAGGCAGATATGAAGGTGAGGTTGACAAATCTTCTACCTTCCTTTCTCTTTCCTTTTCTTTCTTTCTTTTTTTTTTCTTTTTTGTGTGTGCTAGGGATTGAACTCAAGCATGATTAATCACTGAGTCACATCCCCAGCCCTTTTTATTTTATTTTATTTTGAGACAGGGTCTCACTAGGTTGCTTACTCGCTAAGTTGCTGAGGCTAGCTTGGAACTTGTGATCCTCCCACCTCAGTCTCCCAAGCCTCTGGGATTACAGGCATGTGACACCACATCTGGCTGCCTTTCTCCTTTCTAACAGATTGGTTTAACTGGCCATTTCTGAAAGGCCTTTGACTCCTCTCCAGCATCAGAGGGTGAAACCTGGTAGTCTTAGAAGCCAATCACATAATTCTGTTGCCTTTGCCAAATGGAGCATTTAGGTACAGTTTTTGCCAAAGAACCCCAATGGAAGATCAGCTATTGAGGCTTGTGGTAAAATTTCCCCTCACTTTAAAAAGGGATGCAAGAGAGGTGACTTCCTTTTCTTACACTGCAGAAACCACCTTGGGATAATATCGCCTGAGGACAAAAGTCTAAGGATCGGAAGATAGCACAGAGAAAGATAGAAAGAACCTGGGTCCTTGCTGATGTCCTTGGGCTGCTGGATTAACCATCCTGGAACTTCTCTACTGCCAGACTTCCTATTACAGAGGATCAATCTTCTTCCTCTCTCCCTCCTTCCCCCTCACCTGTCTTCCTTTCTTTTCATTCTTTCATGTGGCTAAAAATATTCTAAATGAATATTCTAGGAGTGTTTTTTGCAGGAGACTGAGAAAGGTCTCAACCAGAGTAGTGACCACAAGGGTAGGAAGGATGGGTTTGTTGTGACAGTGGTTAAAAGGGAAGAATTTTGTAACCAAATCGTTAAATTTAGGTGAGTGAGAACTGATGCAGACTCTTAAGGATTTAGCTGTAGATGCTTGAGTGGATGGATGGTGGTTCTATCAATTGATACATAGGCAGGCCCTGCTTTCGTGAGTAGCTGTATATTCCTTATCCTCTCTCTGCATTTTTTTTTTTTTTTGGTGCTGGGAATTGAACCCAGGGCCTTATGCATGCAAGGCAAGCACTCTACCAACTGAGCTATATCCTCAGCCCCTTCTTTGCTTTCTTTTGGCAGTGCTGAGGATCTAACACAAGACCTGAAACATACAAAGCAACTGCTCTACCACTGAGTTATACCTCCAGCCCTATTTTTTATCTTTTTTTTTTAATATTTATTTTTTAGTTGTAGGTGGACATACAATATCTTTATTTCATTTTTATTTGGTGCTGAGGATCGAACCCAGTGCCTCACACATGCTTGGTGAGCATTTTACCACTGAGCCAGAACCCCAGCCCCCTATTTCTTATCTTTAAGAATAGCTCCAATTTCAAACTATCTCTGTCTCATTCCAGTAAATATAATTTGGCCTACATGCTGTGATTTTTTATTTTAGAGAACTATCTTCCTCTGAGCCTTTTGGTTTTAAGGTTAACCAGGGCTAGGGGTGTAGCTCAGTGGTAGAGCACTTATTTAGCATGCACAAGGCCCAGGGGCCATTCTAAAAGAAAAAAAGAAAGTAAGTTGTTCAGGAAAGGCAAACAAGTCAAATTCCAAGTCTCACCATGGCAAAACTGGGGAGAACCTTGAACTCTGATAGCCAATATCCTGCTTTTACCTCACCCTCAACCAACACAGGACGGAGTGATATCTGTAATAAGGGAAAACAGTTTAAGGCTGGGCATAGCGCTGCATGCCTGTAATCCCAGCTACTTGAGAGGCTCAGGTAGGAGAAATACAAGTTTGAGGTCAGCCTCAGCAACTTAGCAAGACCCTAAGTAACACAGGGAGACCATGTCTCAAAATAAAAAAATAAAAAGGGCTGGGGAAAAAAGGGTCTAGGAATTGGCTACCATGCTTTTATAAAAACTGGTGGTGTCTATCCCTTCCTGTGCTGGAGGGCAGAAGAGAGGATAATGAAACTTGGAAATTCAAGCAGTGTTTAGATGGAGAAGATCAGGGGAACAGAGAAAGAGGAAGGAAAGGGAAACTGCCTCAGTTGTGGCAGGAAATCCAAGTCATTTGGGACCACCCAGGCAGCGGTGATTTGAGTGGAGGTATGTGTATGTGCATGTTTATTTTGGGGCTGGGGGCAGGCAGGCAGAAAGAAACATCTGCTCTGGACCCCAGGGCTGGCCTAAAGCATGAGTGTATGAGAATCTGCAGAGGAAAGAGGTAGGGTGGGGTGGGGTGTGGGAGACCAACAGGCAGGCAGACTCTAAGAAACATCTGCTCTGGATCCTAGGACTTGCCAGCATTTGAAATAACTCAAGGGTGTGAGACTTCAACCTGGGCCCTGCCCTTGAGCATAGGCCAGGGCTGAGAGAGGTCTAGAGTAGCCCACAAATACAAATTTCCCAGGGAAGAACAGAGCAAAATTGAACTCTGTCAAAGGGCTGTCCCAAAACCAGGTCTCATGCTAAAAATATTAATAAGAAGTTACTTTTACTAATGCTTCCATTAGAAAGTGAGGATTTGATCCCGTCTAACTTCAAAGTAGAGTCTGCCCTGCTTCTCTACTTACTAGTTGCAGGATCCCTGGGTGCATGACCCCTTTCCCCAGAGGCTTGCCAGATGGTTTATTCAGTTTCCCAGACTTCTGGTCCAAAATTTTCTTTCTTTATCTCTTTCTTTTTTTTTTTTGTGACAGGGTTTCATTATGTTCCCCTGAGTGGCCTTGAATTTCTGGGCTTAAGCAATCTTCCTGCCTCAGCATCGTGAGTAGCTGGAACTATAGTCCTAACTTTCCTAGTCAGAAGTCACCTCTCTCTGCTTTGTGTGTTTGTTTGTTTTTGGCTGTGCTGGGGACTGAACCCTGACCTAGCATGCTGAGAAAGTGCTCTACTACTGAACTGCATCCACAGACCTTTTTTAAAATTTTATTTTGAGGCAGGGTCTTACCAAGTTGCTCAGGTGGCCTCAGTCTCCCAAGTTGCTAGGATTACAGGTGTGTGCCACCATGCCTGGCTTCTCTGCCTTCTCTTACACATCATAATCATATCCTGCTTTTATTACATAGTTATCCTAGCACATATTTTATTTTCCTTAATACTGAAAGATGGGTCTTATTCTAGTTGCTGTTATACCATAAAAATATACACAGAGAAGGTTGACAAAAAATGCTAAATAAATACATATAATCACAGATAAACGAATTCAACATACACATTAAAGGATGCTATCACCTGTAGTTATGGTACAGGTGCTCCAACATGCCCAGGTGTACAGACTCTGGGCCATAGATTCCCCTCTAGATCTTTGGCCAGGCCTGCTAGGGCTCAGTGGCCAGCTCCTTGCCCTGTTCTTGTCCTGGGCTTAATGTGCCCAAGCAGCTATAGCTAGTGTCCATAACTCACCTTCCACCCAGAGCTGTTCTAGGTCTGTCTCAATAACGGCCACGCGGAGACCCAGTGCCAGGGCCCCAAAGGCCAACAATCCTAGGAAGAGCACTTTGCCACAGTGTTTCTGGATCCCACAGCCCAGAGAGAAGAGCAGGCCCTGGAAGTAAGCACGAAGCCAGAGTGGAGCCTTCAGGCTCCCAGCTAGGATCTGGGACAGAAAGAGAAGGGTCAGTCAGGTGTCACTGTAACAGCAAGAAAGCCTTCCCTTCTCTCCCTGTATACACCCTCTGCCAAGCCCATGCTTCTTGAGGTAGGGCAGGGAGCACCTGCAGACATAGGCTTAGATTGTAAGATTTAACGCTATTCCCCTCTACCTTCCCACAACACCTGAGGAAGGAAGGCACAGACCCATTTTCTGAAAATAGGACACACACACACACACACACACACACACACACACCTGCTGTCATGTGGACACAGAGGTTAAACCCACACATACATACAACTTGCACAGCTATGCTAGCTCTCACCTGTCTTCAAACAGGAACACCAAACGACACATTTAAAGCCATCACACCCTGCAGAGGCCCCGGTGACATAAGACCCCACCCTTCCTTCTTCGTTTCCCCTCTACTCACCTGAGGTGTTGCGGGTCGAGACGGGGGTGTGTAGCCAGGTGGCAGTTCTCGGGGAGGCAGTGGCTGAGCCATGCTGGCGGGGATGGGGGGCGCGGACGCCCCCAACCTGTGTTATTTCGGCGCTCCCATAGGCTAGCCTGGCCCCCTGTACCGCGGGACCCCTTGTGGGGCTTCAGTGGGGTCGCGAGGGCGCAGGCGTGGGTGACACTGTGGGGTGCAAATGTGCAGGGGCGGCTGTGAGAGGGGGAGCGGGGGGCTGTGCGGGCCCGGGGCGCGGCGAGAAGGCACTCTGGACCGCCGAAGTGGGTTCGCGTGTAGGTGGAACTGGCGGGCCTCTGAGCAGCACCTCGCAGCTCTAGGAGGCGACTGCAGTGCCGGGAAGGCGGCTGGAGTCCCAGAAAAAGGGAGCGGGCCGGGGCGACGCCCTCCCATTGGCTGAGGGGCAGGCAAATCACCCGGAGCGGAGCAGCCGGATCCGCTGCTAGGTAACGGCGCCGCAGGGGGCGGGGCAGGAGACCACCCAGGCAGGGCCACCCCAGGCCTTGCCGCGCCCGCCCGCGGGGCCCTCGGGGAGGAGAAGGGAGGGAGACCCGGGAGCGGGTAAGCTAAATTCAGGAGAGGCGGGGGCTGAGAAAGAGCGTCTGCTGGCCCAGTTAGCACCACACTTTCTTCCCGATCCGGCCAAACCCCAAAGACTTCTTTTTATTCTTCCCAGCTTTCGTTCTTGCTCCCTTCAGTACACCCGCCACGGAAGCCAGAGACATTTAAAATGCAAATTTGATGACAGCTCCAAAAGCATAAGGTCTGCTTGAAGCACAGGGCCCTGTATACATTATAGCTTTTTTTTTTTTTTTTTTCCTCATAGGTGCTACCTCTCACCCATCCAGTGTTCCCTCTAGCTCTGAAAAGTCACCTATAATTTCCTAAACACATCATGATGTTCCAAGCGTTCTTGCCTTTGTACATGTGGTCCTTTTGTCTTGGCAGATTATCTTCAAAACAACTTGAACCAATTAACCTCTTTGAAGCCTTCCTTGTCACATCTCCCTCCCTGGCAGATAATTGCTTCTTTGTGTTCCTCATAACACTCAATGTATATGTGTTATTGCATTTATGGTGAAATATTTTATGTACAGTACTTGAAAGTCTGCTTTCCTCACTAGACAGTAAATAGGTGCTCAATAATCATTGAATGAATCATTGAGAGTTGAATAAACCAGGGTGTCAAGGACTGGAAACAGGGGAAGAGGAAGTATTTCCTCTAACTATCTCATCTCAGTGTGCTGTTTCTGTTGGGTTCCTGACCAATTAACCCTGAGTGGCAAAGTAGAATAAAAATCAATATTCCAATATGTAAAGTTTGGGAAAGAGAAAAAAATCTGTAATAAATTCATTATTCTAGCACAAGTACTATTATCTCTAGCCAAGTTCTTGGTCAATTCTTCCAGACTTTTTTTTTTTTTTTTAATATATATCTTTATTTTATTTTTATGTGGTGCTGAGGATGGGACCAGCGCCTCATGCATGCCAGGCGAGCATGCTACTACTTGAGCCATATCCCCAGTCCCAGACTTTTTTTTTTTTTATCATTACATCATAAACATTTCATGTTACTACAGTCATTGTAACAATCATTTGCAGAATGTCCTGAGGACATATACCCAGAAATAAAGTTGTTTGGGTCAAAAAGTATGAACGTTTTCATGATCTTGCTGTACACTGCCAATCTACTTTTTGGAAATTTGTGTGAACACCTCTTCTGAACCTCAGTTCTAGGGAAAGAGAAACTTCAGGTCGAGGGGGTGAATACCTAACAAGTTTGCTGCTTCCATTTGTCCATTCATCCAGCAAAATGGGGAGGAACTATTGTATACAATACTGTTGGCCAAGTGGTAACTGAATATGTGCACAGTATTTTCTTCCTCCCTGTCATAGAGGAGTGGGTCCCACTCTATACTCCTAGCAAATTTCTGGAAACACAAACAGTCTAAACTAGGCTACAGGTCCCTATATTGCCTTGGGGCTGTAGTTAAAGACAGTGAATGGCCTAAGATTAGCAATGGATGTCACTGGGACTTAGAGAAGACCTGCTTTTCTTTAAGCAGCTCTTGAGATCTTCCTTCTTACCAGACTCTGCAAGACATAAAGTCCATGGAGAAATAGATTTGAAACACCTGGGCCTTGGAACTTATTCTGCTTCTACCACTAACAATTGTGGCAAAGTCCAGCACTTCTTTTTTAAATTTTCTTTTTTATTTCTTATATACATGACAATAGTGGAGTGTATTACATTCATAATTATCCATTCACAGCACCATTTTTTTGTAACTCTGTATATAAAGAAAGTCCAGCATTTTAATGGATGATTCCAAGGCAGGGCCTGCCTACTGAGAAAATCTCTTGCCAATCAGTCCAAAGAATAATGTGAGACAAGCAGGTCTGCAGTTCCAACCTCAGTAAAGCTTAGTCCCCTCTGGCTGTGGCAAGCTCCAAAATAACCTTTCTTTCTCTCAACAAAATGATTTCCTGAATGCAGCTGAGCTCAGGTACAGTTAAAGCCAGAGACCTCAGGTAAATAACAGGAGGAATAAAGAAACTCCTCTTTCCCCTCTGCAGGCAACCTGCTTCCCATTGAGTGGGCTTACTTCACTGTCACTTCCACTGGATGAGGATATGTGTGTCTTGGGCCCAAACCAGAGACAGTTTCTGAAGAATAACAAAGGATAGAAGCAATTTAATCAAATTATTTATTTATTACCGAGGATTAAATCTAATTACTGATTCATGAGACAAATAAGTCTTGGGGTCTTTTGTGTGTTTAAACCCTTTGTGGAGGTCTAGAGGTTGTAGGGTATCTGTTTTATTTTTAAAATCTTTAAAAATGGAGTTTATAGGCTGAGGGGAGAACAGAGACCAAGAGGGGAACCACTGTGTGTGTGCTGAGGTACTGAGGAAGTTTATCAGAAGTGAGAAAAACTGCAGGAAAGGTGGGAGATGACAGAATCTAAAAGGAAAAAACATGGTTCAAGGTCTGAATCTTTCATTTACTGGCTGTGAGATCTTGGGAAAGTCAAATTATCTATGACACTGACATAAGGATTAAGTGAGATAAGATATATGGCCAAAGACAAGTGACAGGAAAAATGAGGTGGAGTACATTCTCACATGCAGTGTTGAGGAAAGTGACCAGTCTAGCTTTAGGGGAAGGTCCGTGTGGGAATTACAGAGAGCCAGGGCAGGATTTCATTCCTTGGCATTCCCCCAGGTTTCTCATTTACCCTGTTTTTGGTGGCTTCTGTTATCTGGGACAGGCAGAGTGAATGAGCCTGATATGTAGAGGAGGAAAGCAGTGGCTCTGGGCTACTCCCATACCCACCCATTACATTAGGGGCCAAGCCTGGGAATACATGCCCACTCCCTTCAAGACAATAGCATCTATCAAATCTTGGGTGCCAGAGGCTAATAAAGAGATCAGCAAATGACCCTTCACCTTGAGTATGGGGGAGAGAGGTGATGAGCCAAAGCATCAACTCCTCATTTTCCATGGAAGAACCCTGATGCAATCCCTCTGGGTGGTGGAAGACAGTTCAGGCCAAGGACAAGTCATCCTGGCCTCTAATAGAATGTGTTCTCTGCCCAGCCTCTTTCCCTCCTAGCTAGCTTCATTCATCATAGCTAAGCTTTCTAGACCTTCTTTCTGGGTGGTCTTTCCTGTACCTCTCCCTCTCCCTCAGACAC